AATAAAATCTCAAAACAAAGTTTCTCACTCACCCTAAGATTTTGAAAAACTTTCACAAGAAAAAAATAAAATAAATTAATATGTATTTTTTGTTCCTTTCAATATTTCTCTTTCATTTTCCTTTCAATGGACATTAGAGCTATGATTAAAAAATTATATTTTTTTACCGGTTATGTTTGTTTCTATTCCCCCTCTCTCTCACATCCGTTTATCTCCATGTTCAATGAAAAAATTAAATTGTAACTAATGATTCTTATAACTGCTTTTTCATTCATTTATTTATGAAAAAGATATGTTTGTAATTAAATTATGAGATTTTATATAAAAAAACTAATTTATAATAAATTTTAAATATATTGATGGGCGAAGTCCCCCATTCGGGGTGGGTTCCAGCGAGTATCAAGTTTAATAGGATTTTTTTTTAATTCCTAAATTAAAAGTTTGTCAAAATTATTATATCACATTTCCAAAACTCTACAAATCTAAAATTGGCATTCTAGTTATAAAAGACTACTATATTTAAATAAGGGAAAATTGCATCAGAGGTTCCAAACCTTTTCAAATCTTTTAGACTTTATCTTAACCTTCATTTTGTGCCAACGAAGGTTCCTTACCTTCCATAAATATGCAGTTAAAGTCCAGATGGATGGAATCCATCCATTTGATCGTTAATTAACTAGAAAAGTCAAAATTTGATCAGTTTGGACTAATTTAGAAAAGGCATAATAGTACTTTTCATTTATCTCTTATTAAATAAGTAAAAAAATTTAAATTAAAAACCCCAATAAATAAAAATAAATATATAACCCCACTCTTCTCCAGAGATTCCTTTTAGTCATCTTGACTAAAAAGTAGGAAAATTCCCATCTTCAAAAAATAACAAGCCTATATTGGCCCATCTTGACTAAAAAGTAGGAAAATTCCTTTTAGACCAATTATCATATGACTAAATTTTTACTTGGTTAAAATATAGCCATTTAAAGTTTTGAAGCAAAATCAATTTTGCATCCTAATTTGTCGTGACGAATGGTGTTGACACTTAAGGACACATTCGATGTATCGTATTAGACCAGATAAAGATAAAATAATCATATATAATTTTTATCCCGCGCTTGGTGCAATTCGCATTCAGATTAAATTAATCTAGGTTCATCCCCCTTTATTCAATCATTTAAATTAATACCCTACGTGGGTTTAGACTATATTGTTTACTCATCAAATCATGAATTAAGAAAATATTAATCAAATTGAATTACATAAATTTACTTACAAATAAATAAGAATTAAGAATTTCACTTGTAAATAAAAATTAATTTATAAAAAAAATTCACTTTATAAGCCTAAATAAATAAATAATAATAATAATAATAATAATAATAATAATAATAATAATAATAATAAGTTAAAAAAATCTCTTATAAGCGAAAAATCAATTTCAAATGAAAAACTTATATATAAATAAGAAAAATAATTTATAAGTAAAAATACTATATAAGGGTCTGCTTCAGAGGAAGTACCAATTATAAACATTTTTTAAAATACCGACTTTGAGCATTTATTGGAGGATCGATTTTAAGTAGTTTTAGTAGCGGTTTTAAAAAACTATCCAAACTATCCTCAGTGGTAAATCTAGCATCTCGAGTGAGTTAGGACGACTGTTGATCGTCAATGGCCACAATAGTGGGACTGTTGATTAATATTTAATTAAATAATATAAAAAAAATCTCCATTCAATATATATATGCACTAAAAAGCAATAATTTAGCCTTATCAAAAGTTACAAATGAGGCTTTTGGACCCAAACTGAAATGCAAGTAAGGAACTCAATAATTATCTCTAAAAAACGATCATTCAACTCTTTTAAGATTGAGTTTATCGGATAACAATACAAATCAACATAAAAGCAATAATACACATGAAAAGTTGGATACATGATAGTCGTAATTTTGAAAAACCGAGGAATTTATTCTAATAATAATAATGTTCTTCAAATATGGTTTACGTATCTTAAAAAAATGTTACTTTTTTATCTTTAAAAAAAAAAAAAAAAAAAAGGTTTACATAGCAAAATATCCATTATAGTAATCGTATTTGGGAATGTTTGTGGAACACTAACACAGACAAGACATCCCAATATCCGCCAAATCGATCATGCTACAGGTTACTCCTAATAGGAGTGGGCCCCATCCAATAAAAAATGCCCAAAAAGTTACCCACACCCTTGCATGTGAGTAATTTGTGAGGGTTCTAGCCCCGCAGGGCACTTCTCCACTGGCAAAGGACGGACGCTGTCAAACCTGACAGAGCAGAGGTCGTGAGTTCGAAACATGGGACTCTTGGAAGGCAAGGATTTATTCTTGGAAGGCAAGGGAACATTTGGAAGGCAAGGATTTATTCT